GCAATATGTATTGAGAGGAACTCAAAATATCACCAGGGTGACTAAATATCACCAGGCTGACTTTTTTATCAGAAAAAAGCCAAACGAGATGATATCTCTATTTCAGATAAATTAGTTAACATTAAGAATAAGTTGATGTCTCAAAGATTAATGAAAGACAACCAGGTTATACTACAATATCATTCACAGCCAATTTTCATACAAAATGTGTACATCGTATCTATCATATATGTCGATATACAAGCGAGCTAGAACATGCTGGAGAAAATTCGAACGTAATGTAGCCCCAAAATCAATTAAATCGAAATGTCTTTGAGAATTGGGCACTGAAAGTTAAAATAGCATCCAAAAGTACATTTCTACAAGGTGAAAAAAGGCTAAGCTGCGTGTAAATATATTTGTTTGAGATGTTTCGCAATGTATAGTAAAATGTGTTTACTTTTTAATTTAAGTAACAAAGGCTTGTAAAGTCCTAATAAACACAGAAAAAAGCAGAAAGAACCCGGGAAAATCAATATGTACACTTGCAGTTAAAGTGATTTTTTTTTTATGGTATTCCAATATATCCACAAGCTATGAATTGCGCACAGTTAGATTGGTCTTGTGCGCCACCATTTAATACGGATAGATCCGTTACATGACTCCAAAAAAAGTGCATGGGATCATTGAAAAAGACTAAAATAAGTACTTCTAAAATTATCTCTTAAAGTGCTTGTAATCAAGTTACTTAACATAAGTTAGGACAATTAGTTTAAAACGTACATTAGTCATTACCAAGTTTCCTTTTTAACGGTTGAAGGAAATTGAAATATAACTTACTTTTCACAAGATGCATACGCTGTTGTTAACATGGAGAGAAATATGAAAAACCTATATTCCATTTCTGCCCGATTGATTTAGTGTAATATATAAAGCTTTTATACTTATATCATACAACTATTCTATTTTGAAAATATTTCCCCGTCAGACGCGTTCATATGATACGTATTTTTCAAATCAGTCAAAACGTGCAAAATATTCCAAAATAAAGGTAAAAAAAATATTAACATTTTGTTGAATTACGTCGACTTTTGTATGTTGCAGATATAATTCGTATAACAGCACTCCTAAATTATCTCCAACCCTGTTCAGATTTGAAACTTTAACCTATACCCATACCCCCTTTCTAAGTGGGAAATTCTTCAAAATCAAATGTCTATAACTGTTTTCAATAATTTCAATATTCTACGAAAAAGATTTTGAATTGCCATATCTAAATTGGATTTCAAAACTTCATAAAAATCATTCAATATCTATTAGGTTCCAGTAAATGTTTTTCCAACCCTCTTTCTAATATATTAACAGCTGTGAAGAAGATTCCCCAGGAGTACTGTGCAGCAATATATTCGAAAGGTGGTGTAGGTCAGATGTGTATACTTATTCCAAGGAACATCTTTTGAAATCACAAAATTTTACCACGAATCAATGCCTTGACTTATAATTATTACCTGGTAATTTTTTTAACCACTCCCCGCGATAAATTGGCATTTTTATACCAATGACAACTTTTTTTCAATAAAAGTAGAACTCGTAAATTTCCTTATCTTGTCATTGATCTTTTTTCAAAATTATTTTGTTGAAAAGCGTCCCGATTGTACACACAAGTACTCTGAAGTACTTTGAAGTTGATATTAAAATGATGCTTGAGTTTCTGATTGCGATATTTCTGTTTTTTTGGAGACCAGGTCTTCGAATACTCTTTTGGCATTCCCAGGGTATCAGTTGCGTGCTGTTATTAGCAGACCTATGTTTGTATTCATAAAAAGAAAAAAAAATTAAAATCTTTATGCTTGAGGAGAAATCAACACTTACTTTGGCCTTGAACTCGACAGTAAGATACGAATTATCAATTTACAATAGTTATTTTCATTCATGTATCGACAGGATAAATGTATATTACACAATCAGCTTGAATCAGCAGAGTCTGACACATTTGTTTCTCATTATGATACTTTACAAGAAAAAAATAACGAAAATCGAAATTTAAAAACAAAGCTTTTGATGATATTAACTTTTTAATCCTCAACTTCTCTTAAGAAATAAATAACAACTTTATAAATTTCAATGGGAATTAAAGTGGGTCGGTCACTGATCAAATCCTGTGAAGGCCGAAGGCCTTCTCAGAAGATTTGATCACGTACCGACCCACTTCAATTCCCATTGAAGTTTATAAACTTGTTATTTATTACTTATATTACTTATTTATTTTAAATATTTTCGAATATAAATTATTGCACTAACCGTCCGTCGTAGATTTTGAAAAATGACGCAAGGTGTAAATCGGCTTGAATGGCGGTAACGCTTCGAATTCACTGACATTAGGCTAAGGATTTTATTTCTAAGGGACCATTTTGTGAAAGGCTACTTGTGATCAGTAATAGTGAACATATTGTTGTCTGGGAATATTTCTATTCGTGAAAATTGATAATCAATGCTGAAAAGACACAAGAAACACGTCCGAAGATCGATGATAAAAATTTGGAGGAATTTCGGTCGTCAGAAAGGGATGGATGATCCGATGGATGGAAACACTTGACCGTGCCAGTTTATTTGCAACCAAGTATTTCAGATCAAAAACGTTATAGTTTATCGTGAAGATTTAACTAAAAGTCTACCCCAAAAATAAGGATAAATGTTAAAGACTGTACAGCTGAAAAAAGTGACATAAAACTTGTTAACATAAGCTAGTTTCTATCGGTATATTCTCCATGTACACAGCAAGTGTTTTCTCCTTTTTACCTTTTCGATTTTGGACAAATTCTGCTTCATATGAATACGAAAATATCGGTACCAATGTTTATTCTAATAGATTGTTAGAAAAACGCACGGACATTTCCAATCAGAAAATCAAGCATCCTTTTGATAACGAATTAAGAGTACTTGTGTGTACACTTAGAATGTATTTCACAAAATGGTTAGGTACATGACCAATGGCAAAATAAGGAAGTTTACAAGTGCAATTTTTATTGAATAAGCAGCTGCCAAAGATATTAAATAGCCTGGATTTTAATTTCTTGTGGGGAATAGTTGTGTATAAAGTTGATAAATTGTTATCTTTTTAACTGTTGATTTTGGTAAAATCTTGAGATTTTAAACGTTCCAAAAGTTTCCTGGAATTTTTAAGTATCCACATATGATTTACACTGTTTCTCAATTATATTGTTACAGAGTACTTTTGAAGTTTCTCCTTTACTTCTGTTAAAATTTTAGTATGGAGTAAAGGAAGATGAATGGTTGGACATTTACTGGAACCCGCTATATATCTTTGTTTATAAGGATTTTTAGGAAGTTTTTGAATTCAATATAGAAATTCATTTTTGCTGCGTGGAATATGAAAGATATTCAAAACAGACATAATTTTAAAGAATTTCTTCCTTAGCAAATGAACTATGATCATAAGTTGGATTACTACTTTAAGAATTAAGATATTCAATGTACAGCGACCATATTTTACACCCAAAAATTAGTGGTCCAATATTTTTAATCACAGTAGATTTTGAAGGAGTTACCAAAAAAAAAATGCTCCACCAAAGGCATTTACCAAATTTTGATTATTTTCCAGTTAATTGCATCATGAATTTTACTTTGACGTCTATGGACAGTGCATATTTTTTGAAGATATTGTAAAAAGTAATTTGAATTTCCAACAAATCTCTAGGTGAAAATAAGCATAAACTCTCTCTTTATTAATCTATGAAAAAAATGAATAATATACCACATAAATTTTCAGAAATTAAAAAATTTTCTTTTTTTAAATCAAGGGCAGATAACTCTTCAAAAACATTTTAAGGTGCAAAATTAACGGCGTCTTACATGTAATGAGTCATGTGAATTTAATTCATTTCACTTTTATCGTTATCCAGCAAGGCGTTTTTAAATAGCTAAAACTTATTCAAAATTGATTAAAATCCCTTCATTATACATTGAATACCTTAAATACAAGTTCCTTCAAATTACAATTTATATAATGAGCCTAACAAACGACGACAGTTGTTATCTACTTTGTCAGCAGGGACAAGTACGTACTGACCATCTATTTGACTTATATTTACACTTCTGGATTACTGAATACAGAAGTCTAAATTGTTTTCATAATGTCCCTCAAACTTTTTATATGCGATTGTAATATATATCTGAACGTGTCAACGGCTTCTTTTTCATGCCTTATCCATCGCCTGGTGTTAACCAGGATTTACTTACCTAGATAAGCTTTCATTAATTAAATAGGCTGAGTAAAGTGCTTCTAGAGAAACTGCTTACCCTGTTGTCACACAGAGTATTTACTTTGTGAAAAGAATACCTCCAACAAAAATGCTCAAAGTGTAGGAGAACAAGGATTACTCTTGTGAATTTAAACGAAAACCTAATGAAATATTGTAATATTTGAGTTTATTTAAAATTGAGATATTTAATGTCAGTCCATGATCAATGTTGTGTTAATAGTTTTACAAATTGAATACACCCCTGAAACGTACATGCTATTGTTAATCTTTACGTTTCACTGAGTGTGTTCAGTTGTTTGACTCTGCACACACCACTGAGGACGGACTGAAAAACTGAAGTGTTGCTTTTGTTTACGCACATTTCTACTCGAGTTTTCCTGATAATAGTTTAAATATTTTTCTTTAAAACACAACAAAATTGCTACTTTTTTAAGTATTAAGGATAACATTAAAAATATGAATGTGTAAAGATATATCAATCAAACGCGTCCAATAATTTGAAGTTTTAATAACTTCCACAAAAAAAAGATTTTTATGATATTTTCGTATGAAATGCTATAGCAACAAATATAGAAAAATTTGACATAATATAAACATCAAATTTGTGGCTACGCACCTTTGATACTTAATTATCTAGCTAAGAAACAAAATGATATATGCCGACTGATTATGTTAGTAGTAAAATCGCCTTCGAGTATTTAAAAACTTTACGATAATTAGCGATATACAACTGTAAGATAGCAAAACGAAAGTAGGGAATTTTCAAGATTTGCAGGAAGTGAATCATAAAGGTAAAATATTTTCTCCAAGTGTTAGTTTTGCTCATTGAAATATTTCAATATTATTTGTGAGTTAAAAAATACGATTTTTGTCCCCTTTTATTGTTAGTGAAGGGAACGCATATACAATATCTATATCTATCATCATCATACAGTTACTTAACAATCATGAAATAAACCCTAATTTTTTAAGTTTCGTTTTTAAGAACACATTTCCTGTCTATCGGTAACCTTTCTAAGCTGTCTTAAATCGGGTATAAAATGATTACTAGTATACTGGTAAGACAAAATGAGATTAGGATTGATGATACCATTATAAAAACAAGAGGGCCCCGGGCCACAGCGCTCATAACTGCCCATGCTGTTCTTCACCAGATTATTCCTTTTGTAAAACCTTAATCCGAGATTCCTCTGACTCTAACCCCCGCTTTTATATTATGACTTGTGCGGGGAGAGTCAGAGCGGAGGCCATATTGAAAACTGGCAATTCAGCGATACGGGCTAGTGTCGCGACTCTGCCTACCTTTTACAACTTTATTTCGCGGACTTTACTCCCGAGACGCGAGAAATCAGTACAATAATTATTCTCCTACTTGTTAATCATGATTGAAAGGATGCTACCGCCGTTTAAACGGTCCTATCACCGACAAACGAAGCATCACTTGAATATTGTCGCCTCCTCGCCATTCGACTTCTTCGCGCATGACGTCAGCACACAAATACACAAAATTCCAAAGTAACACGTGCTCAAACACGTATGGACCTTTCGGAAAAATATGAAAGTGTTGTGAAAAAATACATAAAACAATATAATGATGTTTCATTTATTTATTTATAAGGAAAGCAACTGTCAAAAACGACTTCTATGCTAAAATTCGGTTAAAAACAGCATTAACACCAAACATAATAATTTCACGTGATAGTTTTGTTTGTGTAGTTGTGTATGACGTCATGCGCAAAGAAGTCGAATGGCGAGAAGGCGACCTAATTCAAGTGATGCTTCATTTGTGATAGGACCGTTTAAACGAAGAAAGCATCCTCTTAATGATGATTAACAAATAGGAAAATAATTATTTTACTGATTTCTCGCGTCTCGGGAGTTAGGTCCGCGAAATAAAGTTGTAGAAGGTAGGCAGAGTCGCAACACTAGCCGGTATCGCTGAATTGCCAGTTTTCAATATGGCCTCCGCTCTGACTCTCCCCCGCACAAGTCATAATATAAAAGCGGGGGTTAGAGTCAGAGGAATCTCGGATTATAAAACCTTTGCTGTCCTGCTCAACCCCTGGGACATGATTTGAACAATTTAGAATCTACACAATTCCATGAGGCTTTCATATGAGGTTTCAGCTTTCTTGACACAGTGGTTCTTGAAAAGATTTTAAAAATATGTTCCTTTATATTTCAATGTTAAAACTTAAATTCCCTATCATGGCCTCGCCCTACCCCTGGGGGTTATGATTTGAACAATTTAGAATTTACAATTCCCAAGGATGCTTCCACATAAGTTTCAGCTTATCTAGCCCGTCATTCTTTACAAGAAAATTAAAAAACTTTCCCTATATATTTCCATGCTAAAACCTGCATTCTCTAATGTGGCCTCGCTTTACCGCCGGGGGTGGGGGGCATGATTTGAACAATTTAGAATTTACACTACACTAGGATGGTTCCACATAAGTTTCAGCTACCCTGGCTCTGTGGTTCTTAAGAAGAAGATTTTAAAATATTTCATATGAAATTTAATGTTAAAATTTTATTCCTTATTGTGGCCCCGCCCTAACCCCATGGATTATGATTTGACTAATTTATAATTTACACTACCTCAGGATGTTTCCACATAAATTTCAGTTTTCCTGGCCCCGTTGTTCTTGAGAAGAAGATTTTTAATGACTCAATCCTATTTTTGTCTTTCCTTGATTATTTCCTCTTGGAAGGGAGCTTGACACTTTATTTTAACAATTTAAACTCATCTGCACCCAATGATGCTCTTTACTAAGTTTGGTTAAAATTCATCCAGTGGTTCTTGAGAAGACATTGAAAATGTTAAAACTTTACACAGTTACAGTCTTGCGAACAGACGGACGACGGACATGGGGTGATCAGAAAAGTTCACTTGAGTTTCCACCTCAGTTGAGCTAAAACTATTGTGGATAAACATTTTTCTCTGAATTTGAAAAGTTTGCCCATGCTTTATATAAAATGCTTTTATTTAAAGAAATATAATATTTCATAATCTGCAAGTTACTCCATTTTCCCCTTAATAAGACAGGTAACTGAGTCAATAGATGAATCATGGAATGGAATGCCAATCAACACATTTTTTTATTATTCTTGCCAAATATATATAATTTGTGTTAAAAGTCTTAAGATCTGAAACGTGCACTGATTTACAACAGGATCAACAAGATTCCAGCACCCAAGACCAAGCATATTTTTCAGGGCGAAGCCATTATTTATATAGTTACAAATCGTAGAGGTTATAGAATATTACGAAGTAATTTATTCCGTAAGCTAATTAAGAATTTTCACATACATTTCCACACTCAAACTAGGAAGGCATTTAAGTCTGAAAGCAAAATGATTTGGATGAAGATTCTTCTGAATAAAAAATGAGGATATAAAATTGTATAGAGTCTTGTTTTTTTAATGTAATACAAATTCTACACTTAAACATTAACAAATTTTCTTTTTCAGTCTTATTTAATGACAAGTTCTTATGTATATAATGAAGTGATCATTGCTTTTAATTGAGTCTTAACGTTCGTCCCTGTTTCCCTGAATACTCATACTCGTATTTTCATAGATCTCAAATTCGTAACTTTCTACCGACTTCCCGTTCAAGTCAAAGCTTTGTACACATCTGGCGGAAGTTGTACATGTACCTCGCACTGTATCGCCCGGTGAAGAATGACACGAGCTAAATTCAGAATCAAAGTTACATTCAAATTTCTTCCTTTTGTCAGATCTTATAACTCTTCTCACCATGGTGATTACTACCATCACAACAATTACGACGAAAGTGAAAATAACGGATCCTCCAATAATGATTATTATTTGAAATTTTTCCATATAAGAACGCCCCTCTTCTTGTGAAGTCGCATTCCATACAAGGAGAATTTCTGGGATCTCTGAAAAAGACATTTAAAGAGACACCGTGAGGTACAAATGGAAAATTGACAAATGTAAAATTTTTGCATGACCGGTGTAAGTTTTTTTCAATTCCTTAAAGTATCAGGTTTCAGAAAATTACAGGTATCAGAACCTAAAAATTCTATTTTGATGGAGAAAAATAAAAGTAAAAATAATTTGAGTATGCCCCATAACGAAAATATTGCAAAATACACTGATGCTTCTTCCTTCCTATCTTTTTCTGGTTGTAAATGATTTTGCTAATATGTTTTTTGAATATCTAGAATTTGTAAACTTTCAATGAAGTTCAAAATCCAACCACTCTGCAACCAACCTTATAAATCTATACATTTTTGTTACTTAAAATTCTATCATTGTGAGAATTTGAAGAAAAAAAAAAACTCCCTAAAACCTGTGCGGTAAAAAAATATTCATTTTACTTATATAAATATAACTGATTTTGTTATTTTAAGGAATTTTGACAAAATTTTGTTTATACCCCATGTCCTTAAGATACCTGTGCCTAATTGACATCCCATGATATGATGACAAGCTGTCTCAAAACAATAACACTTGGATTGACATCTTTCTCCGTAGTTAGGAAATCTACAGGGATCTGAACAGGTCAGGCCATAATATCCAGGATTACAATCTAAAGAAATAATATTCGAATATCATTTACATCAAATTTCATACACTAGTAATGGACTAAAAAAATGAAGGGAATTTTAAATTCAAAGATATTGCTAGATTCACATATTCAAATCAAATAGTCATTTACTACATCGTTGTCTTAGTTTTCAAACTGGCATTTCCAACTTTAAATTTATTTCATGCAATTTTAACCCCCATTAACCCCCATTTACGCAGTCATGCATTTTTAACAATTCCATTTTTAGCATACCCCAAAATCACGCATTTTTCACGCAGACGCTCCATATGAGTTAAAAATTCTTGAGAGGGACGTTTAACAATAAACAATCAATCAATACAATTAAAGATGCATTTCATCTTTAATTTAATGCCAATTCCGATTTATTTTATATTTGCTAAAATCTTATAATATAAAGAAAAGTTACAATCATTATTAATTTTAAACATTAGATAAACCTGTAGCGCGCCATAAAAGGCTTGCGGGGAAAAGGTACATGTAACTTCGTATTTCTCGTGAACATTAAATGTATGTTGCGTCACAGTTCAGTAAGTTGTAAATAGTTTAATTGAATTCTAAAAGTTGTCAAAAATGCATTTTATCCCTTACAGCTGTATGGCATAGATTATTTCATGGGCTTTGGCCTTTATGTCATTAGGACAGGTTAGCACCTAAATAAAAGTATGATATTCTGATATATGTGATCTAAAGAATAATTTGAGATAAGATTTTTGGAGGGAACATCCCTTGCTCTAAGGTCGAATTTACATGTAACAAAAAGCCTACGAAAAAAGTAGGAACCTGTTCCAGACAATAATAATCATGTTTACACAGTTTATCCTCATTATCAGCTCAGATTGGTAGATCACCAGGTCTTGTTACCGCACTAATGTTATTGTTGACTTGTGATTCAATTTCACAGGAATTCAGACCTTTTTAGTCTTATATTATTTCCTTACATTACATTACGTTTTCCTACTTACGAAATTGCATTGAGGAACAAGAGAGTTTATTACGCGTAAAAAAAAACCAAATGAAGCCGAATCTTATTTGTGTTATGAATAGATTCCATTTTAAAATGATCGACTTCTTGAAAATAGTTTATTTCCAACAAAAGAAAATTATATGATTTCATTGAATATAAATATGATAGTAAAAATAGTGCAAATACGCATGACATATTTAAATGTCTCGTGAATATATTCTATTTTTAAACTACATACATGTATGAATTAAAAAAAAAACTCCGTAATTATGATTCGCTATTGTTTTAACTTCTGTACACAAACCTGAACTATTTCGACATCCACCGACAAAGTCACAAAATTCCTGGGTGCAGTTGCATTCATGTTGACATCTTTTCCCATAGCTCGGGTATCTGCAGGGATTTTCACATTTTTTGCCGTAAAAACCAATTTTACAAGCTAATGAAAAGAATATATATTTTTCCCAAGTTTGGATTTTACTGAAGCAAATAATGGGTCTTTAAGGTCAGAGACATTGCTAAATACACAAAGGATATACTTTGCATTCAAAATTTAAAAAAATTGCCTTAAGAAGAAAAGAACTTCTCGGAAAAAGTCGCATTTTAAATCAATGATCATTAGTTATTTGTCACAGGGTATATGTCTACGTTTTGAGTCTACTAAAAGTGAAAACAGAGGAGACTAAAGGTTTTTCAAATTGGAATAGTTATATAACAGGTTATTGCATGGCTTTTGGCCTTTAGGTCATTAGGATAGGAGAGCACCTAAGCAAAATTATGATTTTTAAATAGATGTGATCTATGGAATAATTTAGTAAGATTTTGTTGGGAACAGTACTGCTGTAAGTTATAGGATTGACGACACAAAATCCTATAAAAAGAATGAAACCCTGTCTCAGACAACATGGTTCATATTTACGAATAATTTTCGGCTCAAAGTCAGCTCAGATGACAACCGCTCATTTTTTTATTGCTGTGGTTCAATCCTGCAGGACATCGCGCCTTTTCAGATTAACATTCTTTTCTTGCATGACAATTTTTCTTATCAATCAATCTTGAAATGGAAGGTCTTTAGATACATGAGAGTTTATTGTTTATTGTGCATCATAAATTACCGAAATTTTTTTTCTTCAATATTATAAATGTAAGAGGTCCAGACCTGATATAATACTTAAATTGTAGGTCAACTGTTTGAAAATAAAATTCCATGTTTATTGAAAGGTCAGATGTATTCGATTATTAATTCTTTAAAAGCTGTCTGAAATAATATTGAATTTCAGTCAATCAGTGAGTTAGGCGTCAAATAATAATAATAATAATAATAATAAGATACATTATCAACTTCTTGAAAATAATGGTTTTTCTTTAGCAAATTTAGAATCATAAATGAATTGAATGAAAACATGACAGTAAAGATGCACATACATATTTCAGTTTTAAGCAAAATGTCTCATGAATGGTATCTAATTTCTAATAAAAAAAACTCCGTAATTATGATTTGCAATTTTTTTTAACTTCTGTATGTGTACAGACCTGAACTATTTTGACATCCACTGACAAAGTCACAAAATTCCTGGGTGCAGTTGCATTCATGTTGACATCTTTTCCCATAGCTCGGGTATCTGCAGGTATTTTCACAATTGGGACCGGAAAAACCTATTTTACAAGCTAATAAAGAGACTTTTGTACGTATTTATGCTTTTATCTGAAATTTATCAAGCAAATAAAAGTTAAAGTTAAAAAATACCTGTACATGTATTTAAATCATAATTCCAAGAGAGGCCGGGGAGACAGCATTTCATATCGTTACTAAAAAGTTTAAGTAGCAGCATAAATTGTATATAATTAACAGCATAGTGCGTAACATTTATTCTATCATTTAATTATTGTTAGAGACGATGTCAAATTATAATTACCTTGAGCAAGTTGACTCAACAGTTGCTAAAACATTAAATAAAATCACTAGAAAGATTTTTCTGCCGTCCATTTTTGATATAAGGCATTTTGACAAGGAAGAGATATATACTGTAATGTCGCTGCGAAAACCTATTTTTGCCTATTTCCTGCTTTGCATTTTATGGAACCAAAATGTGCTTTAATTAATAATATATGTAGCTATATCTAAAAAAAATACATTCATGTGCCTCTTTCCGTGCCCTTAGTCCAAATAACAATTTTGGAAAGTAAAATTTAATTTAGCAAAAGGAATGTATCCTTTCTGAGGATGAAAAGTCGCACATAAGATGAAACTCAACCATTCATTTCACTTAAAGGTGACTGAAAGTATGCTGAATGTTGACTAAATTTTAGAGTTCTGTTGACTGAAGGGTAAAAGTTCGTCCGATGACATGTTTAAACCCTTTCTTAAACCTAAAAAGCAATTTTGAAAATTTGCAATACAACTTCAAGATTTTTACTTAGATCTTTTGTCTAAGCTAAAAAAACACCTTTTGCTCTCGATCGAAATGCTTGATATAAAACATTGTACACACACGTGTGAAAATTCCATTACTAGAATTGTCTCAATCATTATTTATATCATCATTGCTATAGTTCTACGCCGTTGTACATTTCAAAGACTTTTTTTCAAGTAAATATTAACGAAGGTGTTTTATATTGATGCATACCACTACTATTTCGAAAATAAGATTGTGTTTTAATACTTGTAAAATTCTAAAATGTTTATGCAGCATAACACACTCCTCAATGCAGTTGATAAGATCAACATAAATACTATTGCTGCAACTTAAAAATATTATCGTATATGTTCAAATTATTTGAAAATAAAAATAAACATGTATTTGATTATATCCTTCAAAGTAACTGATAGTAATTAATGACATTTGTATATACATATACGTCTAGTAAATGAATTGTGAGTAATTGACAAACATATCGATGTATTTTAAAGTATTGAATTACATTTGTATGTGATTGGCCCAAAACCTTACCATAATTTTGGTTTAAGCACTTTATATAGAGATATATGAGATAGAATAATTCTCGTTACTCCTAAATATGACTTTTGCTGTGTATCTTTTTTTGGTCTTCAGCTTCGTCATACTTTCAAAACATGAGAAGAGGAAAGGGAAAACACGTGTGCTTACATTTCCTAGTAGTAATCATTCAGGTAAGGACATGTACCCTACAGTGATTTTCTATTGGATATACTTAAAAAAATTTGGTAAAACCTCATAAATTTTTTCAGTATATTTTTGCATCTGACATCAGTAATGAAAAATGCAAACCTAGAAATATACTTTAAAATCTTTAAAAGAGAGAGAGATAGAGAGAATATCAATTTGGTGTTGTTATACGGACTTTTAAACAGCTAAATAACAAATCTTGAATATCTATTTTTACTCTTAGCTTCTCTAAGAACACTCTTGACCATTTTCAGTGAATGAGAAGTCATAAGTTTTTTTTTATTTGTTGTCACCTTCTTGACGTTTAATGCATGAAATATTATGAATTCAAAGTTATCTTTTTTTGTAATTGAATTTTAAGTGTCACACATTATGAATTAGCAATAGGTTACTAGTTTAAAGTCCATTAAACAACAAATTTCTGGAGCAGAGCAAACAGGGATCTCTTTAACATAAGTGGTTGGATCCGGTGCCATGGAGACGTCAGCATCGGTCACATCTGCCATGTGTTCCTTATCATGATCTGAAAATAACGGAGAACTCGTTTATTATTTCAGATCTTTGATACCGTTTTAAGCTGTCCTGCATCAACGCCGACTATAACGTACGTATCTTTTTGTCCGACAAGTCAAGAAGAATGGGAAAAGGCAGCTGAACGGAAGAATTGTGAGAGCATTGCTGCTATTCAGAACTGCACTGATCGGAGTAAATTTCAATATCATTGTTTAATGAATCACTGGAAAAACGCAACACTAGAAGTTTGTGCACCTATTTTCTACTTACAAGGTAAGTCTTTACAAATCTGATATTATGTTTTATATGCCTTTATCATTATATGAATAAATGTAAAGAGATAAACATGGAAGAGTGAAGACAAAGCAAGCTTTTATAGTTAAGATAACACATTAAACATAATGCAATTTTCAGGCTATTGTGCAGAATTTAACATTCAGATGAAACAAGTGGCAGAAATTTACGACGAAGGATTCGAATGTCTGAAGTTTAATGGCACACACAAATGTCCACGAAGATACCCGTCCATCGAGGCATATAAATGTAATGTCAAGTACATTTGTAAGACGTGTATCTACAAATTAAGAACTATCAATACATCACATAATTATATTCATTTAAAACATTTTTTCTTTAGATCAACGATGCTATAGATACAAGAATATATCTACATATATCTGTACGGAAAAATTAAGGTAAACAATTAATCTGACTTAAACTTTTGAAATATAATTGATATACGTACATATGCATGTGTGTTATAGAAGGGGGTGTAAGTAATATCAATTTACTTTATTCCAAAGTCAAATGAGAAAGAGAGAGAGGCATAGAGGTAGTATTTTTATTTACAGTTCAAAAGACATGTACAAAGACAACAGTTGGATAGCACTTGTGTTTATTATCATCGTTTCACTCCTAATTGGAATCCTTGCCTTCGTCGTTGTGATGATGAGAAAAGGAATTTGTAATAAACTCAGCAAAGGTAAACAAAAGTAAAACAATCTAGTTTATATAAAATAAAAAGATGTTGGTTATCAAAATACACTGAAGACAGCGTGGCTAAAATGGTGGAAAATTTGATCATAAACTTCTTCAATAGCTCATGGTCAATGTCCTTCCCTGTCCATAATTTTCCTAACGTATGGGATCTTGACAATTTTTTGTCTTGTTTACTCAATAACTGGACATATCTACATCACATTTCATGAGTAATTTCTTTTACTTTTTGTTTTTTTTATCATTGTTTCTTTACAAAGAGATGGATTAGAAATATTTTTACTTCTACTTTAAATCAAATGGTTCAAATTACTCTAAGTTAGAACAAAACAGTATTATAAGAAAAGTTTAAAATTGTTGACAGTAAAGGAGACACAAGCGAAAGAGGTACAAAATATAAGATTAACATAATTTTATCTCCATCAAAGCCGTAACTAGGCTCAAGTTTTTAGTGAGGCAAGGGTGCTGGGCATTCCTAGTCCTAGACGGGACAAAGATAGTACCTGATGGGCAGACATGGGGGTTTACATGGGGAGGGGATCCTTAGATCCTTAGATCTGGGTATTAGAAAATAAAAGATTTAATCTTAGAAAGTTTTTAAGTTTTAAATTATCGCTTGCATGGCACAGTGGTTAGAGCGTATGCTCTAGAGTCGCACTTACATCGCAGGTTCAAATCCCTCTGCGGGATGTAGAGACCGGTCCTTCGGAGGAGACATAAAAACCGAGATCCTATGTTACAGTAAGTGATGGCACAAAAAACATCTCTCACTGTTCAATCATCTTCGGTGACTCTGAAAGTCCATTACAGATTTAAATCCTTTAGGTCACCTGAGTTAACTGAGGTGACCTATTGCTATCCGTAGTACGTCGTCCGTCGTGCGTCGTTCGTCGTGCGTAAACATTTGAACATTTTCAGCTTCTTCTCTGAAACCGCTGAACCAATTTCAACCAAATTTGTCCCTGTCCCCCTGGGCCGGAGCCTTGGGGGCGGGGCCAAAAACACTAAAATTAGTGCAATATTTAAAAATCTTCTTTACTCTTGGACATCAAGCAGTCAAACTGTTGGTATGATTGTAATCAGCATTTAGTCCTCTACCAAAATTGTGAAATTCATGGCCAAAGGTTTAGGGGTTCTAGTGTTAAGGCGGGGCTATATGCATTATATAGTGAAAATGCATACATTCTTTAAAATTCTTCTTCTCTGCTCATGGGCATTAAATAAACTAACCAAGTGCATAGTAATATTGAATAAGACTGCCTCTACCAAAATTGTGAATAAACATTATATAATGAAAATGCATAAATTCTTTGAAATTCTTCTCCACTCATGGGCATTGAATAAATTTACCAAGTGCATAATTATGTTGAATAAGACTGCCTCTACCAAAATTGGTAAATTCATGGCCATAGGGCCAGGGGTTCTAGGGCTAGGGCGGGGCTATTTACTTATATAGTGAAAATGCATAAATTCTTTAAAATTCTTCTTCTCTGCTCATGGGCATTAAATACACTAACCAAGTGCATAGTAATGTTGAATAAGACTGCCTCTACCAAAATTGGTAAATTCATTGCCCAAGGGTCAGGGGTTTCAGTGCAAGGGCGGGGCTATTTACATTATATCGTGAAAATGCATAAATTCTCTGAAATTCTTCTCTACTCATGGCCATTAAATAAATTTACCAAGTGCATAGTTATGTTGAATAAGACTGCCTCTACCAAAATTGGTAAATTCATGGCCATAGGGCCAGGGGTTCTAGGGCTAGGGCGGGGCTATTTACATTATATCGTGAAAATGCATAAATTCTTTAAAATTCTTCTTCTCTGCTCATGGGCATTAAATCAACTAACCAAGTGCATAGTAATGTTGAATAAGGCTGCCTCTTCCAAAATTTTGAATTTCATGGCCCCAGGGTCAGGGGTTCTAGTGCTAGGGCGGGGCTTTAAACATTATATAATGAAAATGCTTAAATTCTTTGAAATTCCTCTCTACTCATGGGCATTTAATAAATTTACCAAGTGCATAGTTATGTTGAATAAGACTGCCTCTTCCAAAATTGGTAAATTCATGGCCCCAGGGTCAGGGGTTCTAGTGCAAGGGCGAGGTTATTTACATTATATCGTGAAAATGCATAAATTCTTTAAAATTCTTCTTCTCTGCTCATGGGCATTAAATCAACTAACCAAGTGCATAGTAATGTTGAATAAGGCTGCCTCTTTTAAAATTGCGAATTTCATGGCCCCAGGGTCAGGGATTCTAGTGCTAGGGCGGGGCTATATACATAATATCGTGAAAATGCATAAATTCTTTGAAATTCTTCTTCTCTGCTCATGGGCATTAAACAAACTAAACAAGTGCATTGTTATGTTGAATAAGACTGCCTCTACCAAATTTTGAAATTCATGGCCCCAGGGTCAGGGGTTCTAGTGCTAGGGCGGGGCTATATACATTATATAGTGTAAATAAATTATTTCTTTGAAAAACTTCTTTTCTGCGCCTGGGTATTAAACCAATGAACTATGTGCATAGTTATGAGGAGGAAGGATGCCTCTTTGAGATTTGTAAATTTCTGGGCACCTTGGCCAGGGCTTCTTGTGTTAGGTCGGGGCTCTAATGTTTATATAATGGAAATGCGTGAACTCTTTTGAAAATCTTTTCCTTTGCTCTTGGGTATTATGCCAATGAACTAAGTACATATTTATGATGAAGAAAGTTACCTTTTACATAATAGTTAATTTCCGGGTCCCTGGATCAGAGGTAGTTGGAAGAGGGGGGGTACATAGTCTGCAAAATAAATTAATGCTTTGAAATTTGGCATAAATGATACAATTTTCAAAATTTTGAAATATGTAGCCCCAGGGTCCGTGGTTCCTGTAGGATGGGTTGCAGAACTGGTTACAAGTTGAAAATGCATTTTATCTTTCTTACTGTGATCTTCCTCTGGATATTAAGTAGCCAAAGTAAGAATTCTAAGTGTATAATTATGATGAGCAATGGTTCCTCTTTCAAAATTGTGAATTTCATCACCTCAGGTTTAAAACATTAATCAAATTCAATTGTTGGAAAGTTGTTACGAGATACGCAGGTGACCTATAAGGCTTGTGGACCTTTTGTTCAATATTAAACTCTAAAAACTTAGTGTGGCATTTGCCTCACTTGTCTCAATGGCAGGTATGTCAATAGATCAATAAAATTCGGAAAAGAAAAAAAAACTTCATAACTGTTTTCCGAATGGCATATTTAATTTTATGTTTGTGAAAGGATAGGATATATCAAGTTTATTTCACTTAATTCTAACCATAATCTAATAGAAATGTAAAAATACGTTTATCTTCTTTTTTAAACAAGTAATAGACCCTTGTCTAAAAGTATTGCTCAAATCAGGGAATAGTATTCACCTAGTGCATGAAAATCTCTTTATGAAACAGTAAGGCTATAATAGTCGTAATTAAAATTATTCATTTCCAGGAAATATGGATTCAAGTGAGGTTATGTTATGACATTCTAAGGATATAGTGGGGTCACATTGGGGCTGAAAAAAAGATTGATCGCTTTAACCACCACGTTACGAAATCTATGAATATTCGTTGTGTGTACGTTCGATTACAGTAAATGAGCTTATTGATGCTAATTTTTTCCCCCAGAAAATTTGATTTTCATATAGTTTGGGTTCAGTCTCCATTTAAAAAAAACATGAGATATATTTAAAGAAGCTCTAAACACTAACAAAATGTGCTTTTTGAATTTGTAGAAAAATGTATCATATAAACCGGTGCAAATTGAGACTAATTTGTTCATTTTCAACATGCATAAGGTACGTGCCGTAATTCTGCAAAAAATATGTTCAAAGACAATAGACTATGCGTGAACAGAAACACTGTTGTTTACTTACATTGGTAATATTAATTAAAATAATCAAATCAATTGCTTATTCTTTGTTAAATGTAAAATTAAGCATATTTTAGTCTATTACATATTGTGTAATTAACTGTTAATAACATGTTTTCTATCTCACTTCTAAAGGCAGATCACTATAACAGCACGAATATAACCTACAATTAGAACATTTTGAAATGCACTGTTTAGAGCTTCCTTAACATTATTTTTCACAATTTGAATGTAAATGAAGATGGAGACTTTAGTACGAAAGCCCAGAAGGCTCATTCGAGATTCGAGGTTCGAAATACGAAATTCGAGATTCGAAATACGAGATTCGAAATTCGAGATGCGAAATCCGAGTTCCGAGATTCAAGATCCAGATTAACCAATAAAAAGCGGGTTCAACATTTGATTACTCCCCTTTATTATGATTTTACTCTCAAGAAATCGTTTAATATATTTATAACAAATGAGTCATTTGATTTAAATCACAATGCAAGAAAGAGTGTTAAATATATTAGAAGGAAATTTAAATGATTATTTGAATTTTGATCAGCAAGATATACTTCAATTTATATTATGGCTTCTTAAATATTCGTAGGATCGTTTTCCTGATAGAGGAAATACATAAAAATTAAGTATTCAATTACTTATCTTCATACATGGCTTTGATTTCTTGAATTAATAAAAAATTACGAGGGTTGATCCAAAAGTAATGTCACAACTTCGATAAAATTTCTCCTAGTCGACGTAAATTAACAAAATTTTACATGATGGAAGCTATATTTATTTTAAATCAGTCCTGAAAAATTCAAATTAAAATCATTTATACTTTTCAAAATATCGTATTAAACACAAAGTGCGAATATGGTAGTCGCCGCACCTAAATAACGTCATAAAACGGATATGCGCCGTCACACACTTTTAAAAACGCCTTCACATCGTTTTATTAAAAAAAGATTGATATTCACAAAACATTCACATATTTTATTTTCTTTAAGAACAATTGGCACCAGTTGTACACTTTATCTATAATTTAATCCTTCATCAAAATTCTTTGAACAATACCATAAGACATACTTAAAAGTGTCTCATATCACTCAAACTGCCACTAATCTCTTTTACGACAACGTCGACGCCATTGAACGTTTCCACCCGACCTCCTATCTTTCGGTATTTCTGTCCCCAAATGATCATTTATTTACCTTTTACCCGCCCAAAATCTCTGAAACCATCCATGAACAAGTCTCTCGTTAACATCCTTTCCTCTGTGAGTTTTATTTACCATCATAACCGTTTTTACTTGTGATTTCCCGATTTTGAAGGAAAAATACATTACAACTCGTTTCGGTGTTTTATTCCATTTCGACATTTCCTTTCTGCAATACATCAGATATTAATAATACTGTTTATGATGAAAAAAAAAATGCTGTCATTGAATTTTTAACTAAAGATTAGAAAATGTCATAAATTTTGTCTTTAAAAATATTGGACGATTAGACGATTTTTAGATGCTTTTTTAAATGTGTTTGTCTTTTTTCATTCAACAAAATTAACTTTAAAACGTGACGTTTAGTTGTGACGCGGCGACACCCTCTATGTTTAATGTTTTAAACATCCATAAAATGAATTCAATTCAACATTATTAAATGAAATTTTTTATTTTGATTAGATTTATGTTTATGCATCTTTTGGTGCATTATATTTGATACTATGACGCCAAATATTAAAGATATGGACACAGTGACATTACTTTTGGATCAACCCTCGAATATATACATGTACAATACAGGTTGCCGATATGAATTAAAATAAATGCGGCATTTATTTTATCTAATATCAATAGTAGATGAGTCTAAATTAGATGCAGAACTATAGCGTTATGGTTTTAAATTTTAGTCTCTGACTATACCGTTATGACCAAAGACTAAAATATACTCGTGAAACCTTATAACGCTACAGTTCGATTCAGCAGTCAAGTCTCACTGCACAAATGTACCCTTTACAAATGTAATGAAATATATGCCCTTGAATTACTGTGCAGGGTAGAGATGATTCATAATATACTAGTATTTCATATCTAATTATAATCAATACAATATTCTCCCTCAGCAATGATTTGATAAAAAAAATAGTTGACCTACTTAGACCGCAAGTCAACGATAAGACCATGTAATATTCCATATATACGTATTTACTATTTTGTTTAATGAGAAAAATAAAATTATACATGTATTTTTCAAATTGTAATCCAGATTTTATTTTCATTTCGTTTTAATACATAAAACATTTTTTCTTGCAGTATTATTTTAGCAAATGACCCATTTTTAAAAAATGTATTCAACAATTTCTTGATAATAAAAACATAATAAAGGGGAGTAATCAAACGCTGAACCCGCTTTTGATTGGTTAGTTTGAATCTTGAATTTCGAAACTCGAATTTTGAATCTCGAATTTCGAATCTCGTATTTCGAAACTTGAATCTCGAATGAACCTTCTGGGCTTTCGTACTTTAACCATTCAAGTTAAAAATCATTGTAACGGCTTTAATATACCCGTTTCCCACTTAATATGCTGATGACTGTCGACGTCACATTAAAATAAGATTATCAATTAACAAGTAGTTCAATAAAATACTGTAAAATAGCATATTTTAGAGGGGTCAAATTTTCGTGGTTTGAAGAAAATATATTGGTTCATGGGGATTTGATTTCTGAAGAATTGTTCACTAGTAATATATGTGAAAAATTGCATTTCGTTGTGGACATAAATTTCTGGGTCTCTTTATACCTTGAAAATCACGAAAATTAGCCCCCCCCCCCCCCCCAACGAAAATCAGTGATTTCACAGTAAGTGAATCAAATGTATTGATGAGAACATAAATGAAAATAAACTTTTAGGAAAAAAATAAACTTGTACGTGAACATTTAAAATTGAGAAATATAATACGTATATTATTTCGAAATTCCTAATACTAACAATAACTGTTTAATAAAGGTTGATAATCAAAACTTCAAAATTTCCTTATGCAAACACCCCATAAATGTACCTGATAGAAACTGGAAGAATAACACAAATTGTATTGGCGGAACTGTCATGGCTTTATATTAAAAATCAACATTCACATTTAACATGCAACTGGCATGTTCATACAAATCAACATTCACATTTAACATGCAACTGGCATGTTCATAACCTATGCGCCGATCTTACAACTGGTAAGCTTTTGGCAGCATAGCATTCACAAATATCAAACAAACCATATCATAGCTGGGGGACCTGGAGAAAACAGTATCCCTCAGCAAATGGTTACTTGTCAAAATTGCGTAAACACTAACTGTCAGTATTATCACGTTTAAACAGCAAAGTCCATAGCATTCTTCATCAGTATGTAAGCCATGACGATTTCTGAAATTGTCACATTCACACAGCAAAGTCCTTAGCAATCTTCATCAGCATAAAAGCCATTACGATTTCTGAAATTGAAAGAAAACACACCGCAGAAAACGGGAACCAAAATAATTCATGAACTACATTTAAAATATTCAAACCAACCATAAAATTTAAGGGAGGGAAGGGAGGGGATTTTTCCGTCTGCTCAAAAACAAGATGGAAGATGAAAAGACCTGGCGCATGCTCATGAATACTCATGTATTATTAATCGTAGAATCATAATGATAGAACCGTATAATTCCGGAAAACGGGTTACACTTAATAGCTATTTATAATTTCACAATAGAAAGCAATATATACGTCATTCTCAATAACTTTATTTATCTTTTAGGGATAAATCTGATTATTTCGAAATTCCTAATACTAACAATAACTGTTTAATAAAGGTTGATAATCAAAACTTCAAAATTTCCTTATGCAAACACCCCATAAATGTACCTGATAGAAACTGGAAGAATAACACAAATTGTTTTGGCGGAACTGTCATGGCTTTATATTAAAAATCAACATTCACATTTAACATGCAACTGGCATGTTCATACAAATCAACATTCACATTTAACATGCAACTGGCATGTTCATAACCTATGCGCCGATCTTACAACTGGTAAGCTTTTGGCAGCATAGCATTCACAAATATCAAACAAACCATATCATAGCTGGGGGACCTGGAGAAAACAGTATCCCTCAGCAAATGGTTACTTGTCAAAATTGCGCCAATTGGATTTCAATCATAATGAAATCCAACCGCCATCATAGCGGCCGAATTTTGACCACAGTTAACATTCATCATTCACAAATCACATCACATCATAAAGCCACAACAATTCCTATTCCCAAAATTCATGCACAGTCACTTTGATGGATAAACAAAGTTATTACCAGAGCTGAATTGCCTAAGAGCAGCCTGCATTGTTGACAAGAAAATTTGATTACCTAAGGGAGATAAGTGAACTCCATCATTAAGAAAGAGTTTTCTTTGATCAATTCTGATATCAGGATACTTAATTGAAGCACCATTTGACCTTAAAACAAAGCTAGCAATAGAACTATTAATCCTAGATCTTGATTTCTCTGCAGCAACATTTGAAAATGAATGACGCCAATATACCCTGGGCAAAATATGTGACCAAACAATGCAAGTCAAAGGCATAACCAAACGCAACTTGTTGATAACAGTTTTCATAAATTTTTGTTGTCTTCTTAAAGGATTATTATGTTTGGCAATGTCATTACCACCTACATGAATAACAAGAAACCTTGGATGTGGCTTTGTAGAGTATAGGTCCGAAATAACCTCGTTGAATTTGGAAAAACTCAACCCTGGTAATCCCTTCCACAAAACTTTTACCCCTGTCAAAGAAAGGTCTGTGCCAAATTCTGGAGAATTCAATGCAAATTGTTCTGCTCTTTTAATAAGGGATGAACCCACAATCCAGATTGAATCTACAAGATTTAGAAACAATACATGAAGCAATCATAACAGTCTACATAATCATGAAAAACAGCACAAAATTATAACCCAACTCTAATTTTGATACCCAGATGACAACAATATGGTCATGTGTAACCATCTTATTAATAGTATCATTTACATCTAAAATGTAATCAATTCAGGTCTGAGATAAAGCTTGTATGCATCAGATACCCATCTTCCCTTTCTTTGAATTTCATGTTCAGATATGCCAGACAAATACATATGTGTAGCAGCCCCTATTCTAAAAGAGTGTGTTTTGAAAGTGTTTGTTTCAATACCTAAAAATCTTAATGCTTTGTGCAAAACACTTGAAAACTGGTATGTTGATAAGGGTGTACCATTGATATGACAAAATAAAGGGCCATCCTCTTGAGATCTGAATTGCAAGAAAGTTTCCAGTAAACTAAAACACACTGTAGACTCAACTGATTTGCTGATAGTAATAACTAAACCTTTTCCATTCTGATCGGTTTTCGAAAAACGCAACTTCAATTTGATATTTTCATTACTTAACTGTAAATCTGAAAGCTGAAGTACATTTCTTAAACTCTTTTTTGATGCTACAGCTATTTCGCTTATTCTAAAAAGACCAAAAAATGCAGTTGCAAATGTGGACCCAAATAATAAGTGCTCATACTTGGATTTTGTAACCATTGGCAAAACATCCAAAATTTTTAGCAAAAGCTGATATGTTACCGGGCTTCTGATGTCTTTTGAAGGCTTAGATCTTTTTAAACCTGTCAACATTTTTTGCACAATAAATGATTTGACTGGATTGTCTAGGCCATGTACTTGCAAACTGTGACTCAGAGCTGATAAATATACATTAGCCGTAGAATGAGAAAGATTTTTTGATGCTAGAAATGCTACAAAATTTATTATATGATCTACTGGGGGTGGCCAAAATGAAGGCAATTGAAACTGTAATCTGAAGTCATTAAAAACAACTATGGCTTTGTCATATGCAATTTTTGTGTTGTCAGAGAGGCTAGCTTCAATTAAATTATTGACATGTCCTTTAAAAGGTTCCAAAATGGAATAGGTACTTGATAAGGATGGCAATCTGCCCATGGTGCCAGCTTCCTGAATCTGTTCCACTGCAATCGAGAAACTGAATCTGCAATCTCATTTATACAACCTCTTACATGAACTGCTTTAAATTGAATATTAAACTTCAAAGAAAGCAATACTAATTCCCTCATCAAAATCATGACTCGTTTATTCTTAGATGTTTTGCGATTCAAGATTTCAACCAAAGCTATATTGTCAACATGCAATATTAATTTCTTGTTTTGCAATTTGTCTGACCACAGGTAAAATCCTAAAACTATAGGAACAAACTCTAGAAAGGTTATGTCTTTTCTTATATCAACATTCCACTCCTGTGGCAAACAGAGATAGGACCAGGAAGTTCCAAAAACCACACCACAACCTATTGAGCCTGAGCTGTCTGAATAAAATTGCACACTTTTGTCAGATTCCCATTCCAATTCTGGAAAACTTGTAGTACCATTAAAATCATTAAGAAATGTTAACCACATTTGAAGATCACTATGTATTTCTTTGGAAAGCCGTACAAAATGATGTGGCTTAGTAACACCAGACATTAACCCATATAAACGACATGTGAATGCTCTACCTGCTGGCAAGGCCTTAGTAATAAAAGCTAATGAGCCAGCTAAAGACTGAAGCTGCTTTAATGTTATCTTAGATTTCCCCTGAATTTCCAGTATTTCTTTTTGTAAAGATTCTACTTTATCCTTTGGAATGAAAATTGTCTGATTAACTGAGTCTATACCTAAACCTAAGAACACTATGTATGTTGTTGGACCTTCAGTTTTTTCTTCTGAAACAGGAACACCTAACCCATTACAGATATTTTGAAATGAATCCATCAAAATTTTGCAATTGTTTGTACCATGAGCTCCAGCAAATAGAAAGTCATCCAAGTAATGAAGAACATTTTTCAAGTTGGTGTTATACTCTACCACCCATTGTAAAAAACCGGAAAATTTTTCAAATAAAGCACACGATATGGCACAACCCATCGGTAAACATTTGTCTATGTAATATTTATCAAGAAACTTAAAACCAAGAAGACTGAAGTCTTGGGGTCTAATTGGTAACAACCTGAATGCATTAGAAATATCCATTTTCCCTAATTGTGCATTTTTACCTAGTTTTTGAACCATGCTAACAGCTTGATCAAAAGATGAATAATTAACTGAGCAAATTTCAGGATTAATGAAATCGTTAATACTGTTTCCATGAGGAGCAGATAAGTTGGTGATTAACCTCCAACCCCCCTGTTTTTTGGGTAACAGTCCTATTGGGCTGCAATGAAAATTTTTAAATGGTGGGGCATCAAATGGACCCATTATACGACCTAAGTCAATTTCTTTGTTCAGTTTAGCTAATAATTCATCTTTGTGCTCCAAGGCTGAAACCATATTTTTACAAGATACTGAACCCCTGGGACCCTCATAATTCAATGAGAAACCAAATGTAAACCCATGTAAAAGTTGATTTGCCACTGTTTTATCTGGATAATCTTGTAACAAGTTGTTTAAATTGGTAACATTGATTGGCGTAAAACCTAAATCCCAAAGGCATGGATCTTCATTGCTGAAATGGCCTTGAGAATCTAGATTGGGTCACATTAGGATTAATGTTTTGACGACCGACCATGTGCGAAGCCCCTTTTGGTGTATTATGGCTGGTTTGATTACTGTAACATTTGATAGAGGGGTGGTTTTGTCCGCACTTTAGACAAGAGTGTAAATATCTACAATCTTTCTTAAGACATGAACCCTTCAAGTTGAAATCATAACAACGCCTGTGCTGATGCAAAGTAGAAGTGGGCTTGCGTTCAGCGACTGTTGCCTGACCCATGTAAATCAACCATAATTCTGCATCTATGTTTTCCCAACTGATCAAGCTATTTTTGGAGCGCCTAAGCCTAAATTGAATGTCATAATCCCTCCACCCCAAAGTGGTAGACCGTGAAGCCCCTAGCCTTATAGAACTGATATACTTTAAAATGCCTTGAACATGCTGAGGAAACTTTTTTAAATAGATGGCAGCATAAATCAAAAAGGAATCAGTCCATTCTGAAATATTGACAATTTTCCTATCCTTTGATTTGTTCTTGATTTTAATTTCACCATCCTCAAACACAAGCAGTTGCTGAATTTCAGCAGCTGGATCTAAATGCAATAACTTAGCAAGATCTATATACTCATTATTCCAGATTTTTTCTTGTGTTGTCAAGGGTATGTTAGCCCCAAGATCTGCTGTAATACTAACAAGGGGATTAACAGGTATACATGTACCTGGCTGATAAGCAACATTTGTGGTTGCTGGAGCCGTAGATGTCTGTTGCAGCTGAGGCAGTGTGCTATCCATGGAATTGACCTCGGATGAGACTTGTAGGCCACTGGAGTTAGCCGATAAATCTTGGCTACCACTTCCGGCATGCTGGATAAGTGCAGGCTCTCGTGCTGGTTGCGCCGAAGGCCCCGTTGTACTTGCAGGGGGTCTGACATAAGGCGATTTTGTCTTGGATCTCCGCGATGTCCTCGCTCTTAACAATCCAGTGCTCATTTTCTTGCAAATAATTAATAAACCGTCAGAGATTTGTTTACTACTAGTTGTTGATATTTAAATGTGCATTATATTCAATCAAGTATCGGAAATAAAATGCTCTTGTTTTACAATACTATTTTTTGAAAATTAGTCAATAAATTCTAAACAAATTCATTAAATGTGAATTAATATGCTTGCATTAAGCTATTTACATACATAAATTCCTTTGATTAATACAATACAATGTCGATGATACTGGATTTGTATTCTCAGCAATGATTTTTCCGTCTGCTCAAAAACAAGATGGAAGATGAAAAGACCTGGCGCATGCTCATGAATACTCATGTATTATTAATCGTAGAATCATAATGATAAAACCGTATAATTCCGGAAAACGGGTTACACTTAATAGCTATTTATAATTTCACAATAGAAAGCAATATATACGTCATTCTCAATAACTTTATTTATCTTTTAGGGATAAATCTGATTATCTCTGAGCGGGGGATGTGGGAAACATGCCCTCGCCCAGTACGTCCTCTTTCTTTATGTGACAACGATCTACATTTCTGAGTTGCAGTGAAATATATGGAGATAATGAACAGTATCCAAGCTTAAAACTGCATTAAACAATGCAAAATAGGAGCAAAGCAAACACGGACCTCAAAAAACATCAAAGGTGATATCAAATTTCATGGAGGAGTAAGCATCCCTTGCAGACCGGTCACACCCACTGTGTGCTCCTTGTCATGACTGGGAGATAATGGAAAATCTGTTGTCAATTCAGTGTTCCAAAATGGACTAACAATTAGTATGAAAAACGTCAGTCAGTTTTTACAGTCAGTATTGAATATTTTTAATGTCCAAAAGAACCAATTTGAACTACTATATTGGAATCTGAAACTTCATAAGATTCCTTACAAATGAAGAATAAGCATCCCTCGCTTTCAAGTAAATATCCAGATATGAAACAGATGTGTCAGACTTCATGGTATCTTTTATCTCAAGCTCACCTGGAATATATAGTATCGATACAATGACCTTGTCATCAAATACAATTTATCATTGAGACAAATGCTGACTGACGTTTTTCATACTAATTGTTAGTCCATTATTTATACATTGAATTGAAGAAGGATTTTTCCGTTATTCATGACAAGGAGCACACGGCGGTTACGACCAGTCAACGGGGAATGCTCACTCCTCCATGGCACCTAATCCAACCTCTGATGCTTCGGAGGTCCGTGTTTGCTTTGCTCCTATTTTGTATTGTTTTATGGACTTTGATATTGAATACTGTTCGTTATTGTTAACTGCCAGCACGTCGTCGATATATCTAAATGTCGATTTGAGGACCACAGCAAGTTTTTTTTCCTTTCACGTATAAGATTTAATACAAATTCTGTTTCATATAAATACAAAAACTATTCTGCTAAGAACGGGGCGCAGTTGGTACCCATGGATATTTCAATAGATTGTTGGAAGACTTAAGGTATCTAAGAAGAACAAAAAATATATTAATAAGTGTTATGAATTGACAAACGTATATTTGTACTTTTATAAGAATTGTCTCTTCATTCAAACAGATGACTCTGAAGAAGGACGAATTCTCTTACAGCGGACGGAAATGACAATGGAAAACATTTCAGTAGAGTGTCAAAAACCTAATAAGAATGCGGAACAGAATAAACTTGGTAAGTCACTATTTCCAAATGTTACAACGCTGTATACCGGTATTTAATTTGATGATTTTGAAAGTTTGGATATTCTGTCAACATACATTAGGATTATGAACTCCGTATTCTGTGCATTTATATTAAAAACAAAACACTCAAAAATTTTTATCATCAATGAACAGCTTTTTCCCTTATTGCCTCTTGATTTAAACAGATGACACCGAAGAAGGACAAATTCCCGTACATGTTTATCAGTCGGAAATGCCAAAGGAAAGCATTTCAGAGGCTGGCAGTTTTTCTTCAGGGTTTCAACGGCCTAATAAGAATTCGGAACAGAAAAAACTTGGTAAGTCACTATATTTCCGGAATGATATATTTAATTTTATGATTTTAAAAGGGTGAGATATTTTCTCAGTATGTATTAAGATGCATATTAAAACACAAAACACTCGAAAATATTTAAAAACAATGAACAGCTTTTTTGCCTTATTATTATGTCTTATCAGTCTTTTTCCCGTAGTGTTGAAGAGATGTTAAATGAATCTGTTCTACTTTCCGAGATAATTGGCTTTGGACTATAGAACACATTCCACTGTTCTCAGCACTTAGCCTTAATATTCAATTAAAATTATGATATTTTAAAACTAATAATAAAATAGCATTCAAAATGTAAGTAAGCAATTTGCTTTCTTCAAAACTGTGGAAGAATAATCAAGAAAATGAATGCTTGGTTTATATTGTTCATATAATATAAAATATATTTTTGACGTATGAATAAAGTTTGTATAACTATTAGCGTAAAGATAAAGACTGGGCTACAAGAGAAGGTCGAAATTCAACTAGAAAATATAGAAGAGATAGATGTATTAAAGTCTATTAGAATCAAGGAGGTCATGATTATTGATTTCCTAAATGATTTAAACATCCTCAAGTTGTAAAAATATTATTTCATTCAAATCCCATAGTTAGGTTGATGTCACAATGGGGTATTAAAGAATATGCTTGAAAATTTAGAAAAAAGAATTGCCTTTAAATTTGTTCTCAAGAACAGCAAGTCTGCAATCATTCTAACGTACTCAGTGATGCAGATTCGTTTTTTTAAATTACGACCTTGTGTGAAGAAGTACTAATCCAAATGTGTATAGTTGACAAATGATGTGAGGAGGATATAAGGGTATATTGAAATGGAAACTAACAAGGACTTTATTAAGCAGTGTCACTTAATTCTAGGCTTCCATTCTGAATATGCAAAAGTTGTGTAGATATTTTTTTAAAGTAATAAATCCTTGTGTAAAAGTATTGCCCAAATCAGGGAAAAGAATTCACCTATAGGGTTCAATAAATGATATTATTAAACAATGAAATCATTTTTAAAAATTCTGTTGATTTACAAATAGGTTAAGGGGACATGTTTGAGCGTTGCTGCCAATAAACCTAGAGTATGATAAGCATTATTTTCACGAATATAATTTGTATTTCTGTATAGAGTCGCCCGTGTAGCGCAGTGGTAAGAGCGTCTAGAGTCGCTAAGTAAGGAGTTGATCCTTACGTTGTGGGTTCAAATCCCGCTATGGGACGTGGAGACCGGACCTTCAGATGAGATCGTATAGACTGAGGTCCCGTGTAGCAATAAGTGCTGGCCAAAAAAAGATCCGTTCCTGCTCAATGGCCCTAAGTGCCGAGTATAGGACAAAATTTGCAGCTCTCCACCGGCAAGTGGTGGCGTCTCCATGAGTGAAAATTCTCGAGAGGGACGCTAAACAATATACAATCAACTAATCTATTGCAAAGAGAAAAAAATGAACATTTCTAAAAAAATTTTTATAAAATTACATATGTATAGTATATGAACTGTGTATACTTAACAGCCAACGCTTCGATGAACAAACGAAAGGCTTCTGCTAAAAGTGTGAAATTTATGAAATAAAGGTGTATATTTCCAGTTGTTGGTATTCATATATCTAAGAAGAAAAAAAAAACAACTTAACTTATTGGTGTTATGAATTTACAAACTTTTGAATGAACCTTGATATAAGTTGTCTTTGTATTTCAATATTTAAACAGAAAACACTGAAGATCTTACTAATCTTCCTACAACGGACGGAAGTGCCAAAGGTAAAAATTTCAGAAATTCGTATTCTTTTTTAAAACATTTCAAGTACTTGAACTATGAAGAATAATTAAGAACCCTATATCACCACTCAGTAATAGAAAAGGAAGATTTAAGCATTCTGAAAATTATCTTTTTTACAAAAGATACTGTTTACTACATTTTGATACGGAAATCCTGTAGAAAAAAGTGGTAAAATTTTCAACACATACGTTGGCATGAACACCAATGTATTTTGACCTACTGAAACAAGAAAATTATACAAAGTGCCGTAAAGTCAATCTAGAAACAAGATGTGTTTGTGAAACACTGATGCCCCCGTATGGCAACATAGCGAAGGTTAAGCTTTCTCAAATGCAGATCAGATATGTTAGTACCTAATATAAGGCCTTTTCACAAGAAATACAAATGTGAAATATAAAACCCTAGCACCACCTGTTCAAGGGTTGTGACCAAGTTTACATTTGTAAAGGTAGGATAAACTCCGGGGTCAAGGTCAAAGGGTCATGGTTGTTGGTTCCTAAAGAAACGCCTTGTCTCAAAGATTACAGATGGGAAGTATGAAAGCGCTGGCCCTTACCGTTTGACCAAGGTTAAAGTTATTAAAAAGTAGGTCAAACTCCAATTAAAGTTGTTGGTATCCAATGAAAGGTCTTCTCACAAAGATTACATATTTGAAGTATAAAAGCCCTTGTCCTTAACGTTCAAACGTCATAGCTAAGGTTAAAGTTTTTTTCGTAATTAGGGAAATATTCAAGGTCAAGGTCAAAAGGTCAAAATCGTTGGTTTCAATTGAAAGGACATGCAAAAAAATTGATATTTAAAATATGAAATTCCTAGTATCTACCGTTTAGAAATTAGTTAAAAGTCTTTGTGCAAAAGTGGATCAAACGTCAAGGTCAAAAGGTCAAATTGGATGGTACCCAAAGAAAGGTCTTGTCACAAGGAAAACACATGTGAAATATGAATATCATAGCTCCACTAAATCAAAAGTTTTGGGCAAGGATTAAGTTTTTGCGGACAAACAAACAGCTAAACAGCTATACAGACACACAGACAGACAGCTAGACAGACGGACGGAAACGACAAAAAATATATACCCCCGAAACTTCGTTTACGGGGGCATTCGTCTTTTGGGTCACCTAAGCTGAGAGTTCATTGTATTTTTATCATATGGCGTATGTCTCCTTCCTGTCTTCCGTTTTTCTGACCGTCTTTTCATAAGATCTTCATATGTTGGTATCTTCTCCAGAACCACTGGGCCAGCTTAACTTCTCACAGGTCAAATCAAATCTATTCAAATGTCGATCCCCGCCTTCTTTCAAGTAGAGATTTGTGATAATCTGACTCAACTTTTTAGAATCTTCTTGTAAAAATACACTGGTCCAGGAAAGACGAAACTTAAGAAAACAAACTATATTTCAAAGTGATCTCGTGTGGTAATTAAGATAGGGTTAAATTTAATTATAAAGATCAAAGTTTTACCTAGATATAAACAGAAAAAATCATGAATATTTTTTTCTGAAAAAAAAAAGTAACAACCTGATTAGTTTTCAATTCATTCAAAAAGTTTGCAGTAGGTCCTGGCACGAACAAAATACTTGTCTGCTCAATGGCCCTGAGTGCCGAGTATATGACAAAATTTGCAGCTCTCCACCGCAAACGGTGGCGTCTCCATATGAGTAAAACATTCTCGAGATGGACGTTCAGCAATAACCAATCAATCAATCAAATAATGTTATAATATTCAAAGGATATTGTGGAATCACAATGGGAGCTTGAAAATTTCATATGAATAAAAAAGTTAAAATTATACCCAGATGGATTTATGGGACAGGTATAAGTGTTGCGGTCAATAAGCAATATTTCTCTACATCTACTTAACATATATCCTGTAGGTCTACGGATGGAGCTTTAAGAAGATCTCAAAGTTTTTTTGCTCATATATATATATATATATATATATATATATATATATATATATATATAGAAAGCACAGAGAAATTCACTTTTACAAGGATACTCACTTCCGCCCCAGCCCGGGGTTGAACTCTCGACCTACGGAATCTGTCTCCTAGCAGTGCAGAACAGCGCGTTAGACCGCTCGGCTATCTAGGCAAGTTAAAAAACTTGCTTTCGATGCCGATGGAATTCTCACAACGCTGCCCTACACTACACGGTCATTGAGAATGGAAGTGAGATACAGTTATTTGGACATTAATTTTTAGAGGATTGTTACCAATACATGTTGTGATGAAATTAATTTTATTTATAAAGCACAAATTACAACAACTCTTAAACTAATATAACTGCCCTAAGTGAAGAAATATTAATATAGAAAGCACAGAGAAATTCACTTTTACAAGGATACTCACTTCCGCCCCAGCCCGGGGTTGAACTCTCGACCTACGGAATCTGTCTCCTAGCAGTGCAGAACAGCGCGTTAGACCGCTCGGCTATCTAGGCAAGTTAAAAAACTTGCTTTCGATGCCGATGGAATTCTCACAACGCTGCCCTACACTACACGGTCATTGAGAATGGAAGTGAGATACAGTTATTTGGACATTAGTTTTTAGAGGATTGTTACCAATACATGTTGTGATGAAATTAATTTTATTTATAAAGCACAAATTACAACAACTCTTAAACTAATATAACTGCCCTAAGTGAAGAAATATTAATATAGAAAGCACAGAGAAATTCACTTTTACAAGGATACTCACTTCCGCCCCAGCCCGGGGTTGAACTCTCGACCTACGGAATCTGTCTCCTAGCAGTGCAGAACAGCGCGTTAGACCGCTCGGCTATCTAGGCAAGTTAAAAAACTTGCTTTCGATGCCGATGGAATTCTCACAACGCTGCCCTACACTACACGGTCATTGAGAATGGAAGTGAGATACAGTTATTTGGACATTAGTTTTTAGAGGATTGTTACCAATACATGTTGTGATGAAATTAATTTTATTTATAAAGCACAAATTACAACAACTCTTAAACTAATATAACTGCCCTAAGTGAAGAAATATTAATATAGAAAGCACAGAGAAATTCACTTTTACAAGGATACTCACTTCCGCCCCAGCCCGGGGTTGAACTCTCGACCTACGGAATCTGTCTCCTAGCAGTGCAGAACAGCGCGTTAGACCGCTCGGCTATCTAGGCAAGTTAAAAAACTTGCTTTCGATGCCGATGGAATTCTCACAACGCTGCCCTACACTACACGGTCATTGAGAATGGAAGTGAGATACAGTTATTTGGACATTAGTTTTTAGAGGATTGTTACCAATACATGTTGTGATGAAATTAATTTTATTTATAAAGCACAAATTACAACAACTCTTATATATATATATATATATATATATATATATATATATATATATATATATATATATATATATATATATATATATATATATATATATATATATATTTTCATGAATTTAGCCCCGATATTGAGCCTTTATTGCACTTTATTTTTGCTTATTGTTTTCAGGAATATAATTCTTATTCCTCTAGATCTGTCAGAGAAAAAAAAAACGAAAATTTTCCAAAAATACTAAAGAATAATAAAATGTAAGGTGTGTACATCAATTAAGAACGAGTGGCTTCTACCAAAATTTATGCGACATTGATATAGAATTCTAGTTACATGTATATCTAAGAAGAATAAAAAATGCTTATAAGTGTTATATGAATTGCAGACTTATAAGCATACTTTTAAGTTGTCTATGCTTTAAATAGATGAAACTGAAGAGGAAACTGATCTTCTTACAGCAGACAGAAACATCAAACGTAAGCATTTGAGTAACCGATCATTTTCTTTTCATAAACTTTCATCATAAAGAATTATAAAACCCATACCTCTACTTAGTGACACGAATATACATATGTATACGAAAATTAAGTCAAATAAGATATTTTAACCACATTTTAACAGCCCTGCTTAATAGTAATGGTAAATATTCTTCGTACGTTTAAAAGAACACCAATTTATTTCAATTTTTATGGAAACATGAACATTAATTTACAAAACAAAATGTCATAAAGTCAATCTAAACAAAAAGGAATTTTCTTTGCTTTTTGGGTCACCTGAGCTGAAAGCTACTGATCTTTTACGTTTAATTTTGAGGCCCTCGAACTCTTTTTATAGAGAAATGATAATCAAATTGACATAATTTGAAGTCAGTTTTTAAAATTCGATTCTGGTCTAGGAAAGATGACACTTAAAAAAGCAACTATAAAATGTTGATTTGATTGTTAAAACAATATTTTCTCGGGGTAAATTGGAATTACAATTAAGGATGACCATTCAGTACTTGAGAATACAGGTATACAGTAACAAAAATCATTCAAAAATATTTTCCCAAAAAACCGGACAACCCTGATTAGTCTTAATTAATATGGAAGCATTTTCAGATAGCAAAGATTCAAAATTATTTAACACATCAACCCCAAACCTAGCGGGGGAGGTGAGGGAGGGAATTGGGCCATAGAAGGGGGTCAAAGTTTTACAAGAAATATAGCAACAAACGAAATCCAAGCTCAAAGGTCCATTAAAACAATACACGCCGTGAGCGGACGAACCTCCATCAGAGATGTGATCAGGTACCATGGAGGAGCACGCATCCCTTGCATAACGGTCATACTCGCCGTCATGATCGAGCAAGCGGAAAAATCCGTGGACAAATCAGTGGTTATAAAATGTTTTAAACATTTAATTAAAAATGTCAAACAGATTCAATACAACGTTGCTCAAATAAAAAAAAGGATATTCTAATGCAATTGTTTTGTAAAACACTTTTTCATTGGCTAATGCACTGATGTTTGAAGCAGTAAAACGAGCATTAACGAGCGTGAAAGCTTTTTCATTGTGACGTCATAATAGAGCGACGCAAAAACACAATGCTCCGTGACGTATTTCATGTAACAGAATTCATCAAAATAAGACGTAAACAACAAACAAAATGCATGGATTGCATTAGAATGGGAATAACTAATCTTCTAATTTGGTATTTGCGACCGTTAAGGCTGATTTAACGGTCGCAAACATCCGTTTTACCGGCTCCGCTTACGCGTCGACGGTAAATCTCAGTTTGCGACCGTTAAATCAGCATTAACGGTCGCAAATACCAAATTACAAGATAGTTATTCCCTAATTAAAGCGCAATATGGGGAATTTAGATAATCAGAATGTTTTTAAGAAAAAAAGGAGACCATAAAAATGAGGATGATAAAGAAATAAAAGATCTTTACAATATAGCAAACATATTTCAGCTTTTGTCTAAAACGTATTGAGAGGAAAAATATAATGAATGGATTTGCTTCAAAATCAAAATGTTTGATATTGTAGAAAGACCATCTTCAAAGACAAAGCGAGCACCGGAAATGCCAAAAAATGCTCCTTACAAGAATGATGAAACAAAGTGAGTACATGTATTATGGAACATCTTACGAAATTCAGGTGATAACTTTTTGTTTTCTGTTTCAAACACATATTATACCTATGTTTTTAGACTTGGTTAAACAAGAGTATTATATAATTTCAAAGTTTTGAACACTGAGATGAAATGGTTTCTTCACAGGGTGTTAAAACAAGGACACTGCAAGGCGGAGGATAAATTTGCAAAGTGGATATCTACGAGGGTTGTTCAATAAATAATGTACTGAACTCTATGACATACAACATAGAAATCATTTGACATTAAGCTTGAGTTTCTCTATTGATTGAATCTTTAATGAATTGATAACAGTTTATTTGACCACTTTTTATTACAGAGTTTCAATATGAGAAGCTGGAAAACAAGGGCTTTTCAGGACACTGCATTAGAATCAGTACTAGACTGAAAATAAACTCTTCATTAAAGCTTCTGTATAAATACTAAGAATACCAAAGAAATTTTCACTGAAATATGTGAAATTTACAGCAATCAATGTCTGTTTTTATAGACACATGTGTAGGTGGATTTCAATGAATTCGAACATAAATGGTTTAATGAGCATCAAAAATGCTTTTCAACAACCAATGTACTGTTTGCCAAAATTTAAAATGTTATCACTGATGACGTTTAATTGACTTTAAAACAAATAGGAAATTTGATAGGAATCATTTTCGGGGAGGTTCACACTGTTTTAAAGAAACATTGGACAGTAAATGAGCTTAGTACTCAATAGTCACCCTATGTTTTGAAAAATGAGTGAGAACGAAAGCGTGTAAGAATATCTAAACAATTACTTTCAAAAAATCAAAAATTGTAGTCTCCGCGTTTGTTTGAAATTCGAACAGATAATGAAAGTTGAATCCATTGCTTTAAACCCGCTTAACAAATTTACAATAAGATGCACTTGACAAAGCAGCAAAGGTCTGAGAAAAAACTACATTAAATTTCTTAATGACAGCGTCCAAACCCACACGCCACACAGAGTAGAGGGATAATAGGAAAGTTAATGTTTTGTCACATCAGCAATTTTCACCAGATCTGTAACCTTTTCACATGTTTCATTTTCCAAACTTGAGAAAAAACACCTTTCAAAAAGAAACAAGTCAAGGAAATAAAAGGATCTGCAATATTCCAGTATACGAAGGGGCACAATTAAAAACGTGTTTTAAAAACAATTCGAAATTGGATGAAAATGTTACGGACATGTGTTTTGATTAAAAGAGAACATTTAAGTGAACCATTAAGACTACGAGGGGTTATCAAAAAGTTCGTGGGCTGAGGCTATAAAATTAATACTATGTAGTCTGTGCTTTCAGAATTTATAAGGAACATAAAACAACAAAAAATGAAAACATCTTGAAAATTTTAGCTTGATGCGTTCATTAACTGCCGAATTATCATAGAATAAAAACGATATTATATGATCACCTGGCGCCGTCGCCGTTTAGTTTCGTGACGTCCCACTACGTCATTGTTTTTCAATGTCCGCTTTCTCTACTTCACACACTTATTTTCATGAGATTCCCTGGAGTTAAATAAGGACTTAAATTCATCTTATTAATATGATTTTACAATGTCATTAACAGTGGCTTTCAATACATATAATTTTGCAAATTGATTTATACTTTGGGAAAGATCCTCGCTTGAATGTACAAACATATTTTGCTTCTTGGAGATTAATTTATACATGATCTACGTCATTTCGTGATTGATTTTTTGCACCTTGATTACACATCGGCATTACGTGTGCATCCCTTTTCTCTCTCATTCTCTTGGCATTAAAAAACAAGTACTCTAAATGCATTTTATTTCTCCGTAGCCAGTTAAAACATTTCCTAGGTCGAAACCAGTTTTTTCATTGGCAAAAATTTATAGAATGTTGAAAAAGTAAACCTCTCCCCCTTTTTGACGTCATTTTCAAGGACATATTTGTTTGAACACTCCATGTAAAATTTATGATAAATTTTCATAGAACTTCTAGGATGAGGAAAAAATTCATATTTTATGGAACAATAGTATCCTAACACATGTCTGAATTAACGGGATTTTGGATGTCAAATGTTCATATCAAAAGAGTTTTCCTCAGTTACACTTAGGTCGAAAAAAACGTAGAGTTCGAGGTTACGCCAACTGGACATAACATTGCTAACAAAAACATAACTAATTTATTACAAAATAAAATTTATGATTTGAGGTTTATTCTATAGACAGAAAATATCATGCTTACTAGATATTTAAGAATTCATTGATGTGCCTAAAGCGGTTTTAATTTTATGGCGCTAGTCTACGAACTTTTTGATACCCCCTCGTAAATCATTGAAAAGCGTTCTTTGTTTCTTTCCGAGCACTGAGGACACTATTTATTGAACAGTCCTCGTATAAATCAAGGCAGCATTAGACATCAATTCCGATGGAAATTAAGTCACTTCCATTTCGAACATAATTAACTCCCAAACAAACACACACAGTTAAAATTTATTTTATCCCCTCGAACATCGTTGTGAGGGGTTTACAAAGAATACAGGCATTTAACATTACAAAAAATGGACAAACTTCATAAAGATCCACCAATATTCGTGGTTGTACGTTGCTCGACATCAATAATAGCTGTAGTATATAATACAATATAATTAAGATAGACTTTGGCAACACTCCCTCTCCTGCATGACTATATATTGTATATATTGTAGACGTTTTTTAATGAATAATTTTGTGGCGTTTGACAAATCTTGTTTGTATCCATTTTGTATCTGGTTTAAAAATTATGGAACTTTAATGTTTATTGATATTTACTTTGAAAGTCAAAATATCTCGACATACTAATTTATTCATTCAATTGGCTCGATTTTAGAGTAGCTGAACAAGTACGAACAACCGCTGAAGATAGGGAAACCCCAACAGCCCCACCAAGAAAATCAAAGAGGCCTGCAAATGATAAGTAAGTTGAAAAAGTTGAAAATGTTCGACAAAGGGCTAATTTTATGATAAAGAGACAAATTTTATATCTATAATTTTATTCAATCATTATTTTTTTGTTTTTAGATGCTCAAATGACTTCATAAAGTCCAAGTGAAAAGTTTCTGCGAGAACCTGATCCATAAATTTAAAAAGACAGAGCATAAAAGAAATGCAAAATCATGGAAATTGATTTACTCATTTTGTGTTTATTTAAGGGTGGAAGTCCGAAAACTTTGAGAGAAAGAACTGTTCGAGGCCCGAAGTTTTTTCTCTCACAGAATGAACAATTTGAGGACGTTATCCTACTTAGACATTTTTTTCTATTGTTAACTTAACTAGAGCCGAGCTCGTTGCAAAGAAACGAGTAGGTCTTCCGTCGGAGCTGCGGACAGAGAAATGACCTTGAGTCAAGGTCATGCCACGTTCTAATGTTAAAGCAATCTTTTAAGGGTAGATATCATCTTATTATGTTTTACTATTAAAAGAAGGACACCATGACACACGCTGATGATGAGCATATCCCATTTGTGTGCTACCGTATTGACAAATTCACACATGTTTTTTCAAACAATGCATCCAGCCAAAATATCTTATCCTAAATGACCTTGATTCAAGGCCATAACACACTCTGCATGATTTAAGCCATACCTTTTTTTTTTTAGATAGGCTTTGTCACAGCTAATATGCATGTGTAAAAAGTTATGGTAAATTTTAAGCAATGTTTAAATTTTGGAAAAGCCGGATAAACTTCAAGGTCAAAGTTCATGATATACAAGTATTTGAAATGATTTTATCACAGGTTACGTACATGTGATATTTGTGTAATATGAAAGTTCTATCTCCTCTCATTAAAAAGTTATGATCGAGCCTCAAGGTCAAGTTGTCAAAAGTCAGTGTATTTAGAAAAGAGTTGTCTTAGGTAATACACCGGGGTAAAATAAAAGCCCTATCTCTTCTCATTCAAAAGGTATGAGTATTGTTAATGTTTTTGAAAAGGTCAAAGGGTAAAAAAATCAGTGAAGTTTGAAAGGCATTGTCACAGTTATTACATTTTTATAAAATGGAAGCTTTCAAAAGTTCTGGTCAATTTAAAGTAATGTTATTTTTTTAAGTAGGTCAAGCTCCAAGATCAAGGTCACAGGGTCAAAAATCACTGTGACAGTATATTTGAAAATCAGATGTCACAAATGATGCACTTGTGAAATATCAAAGTCCTATTTCAACTCATTCAATAGTTATTATCAAGTTTAAAGTTCTCGTGACAGATGGACAGACTGGCTGACAAATAAGGTTTAATGTTCCCTAAAAAATAAATACATGAAATTTGAACATGATAAATTGAGAAATACGAATAATAAAAAGAAACTAGATGAGATCTCGTTGCGAGCAACGAGTGGGTCTTCCGTCCAATTCTTGATGAGATGAGATAACATTTTGATTGCGATTTTCATTCTAAAATAATGATTTACCACAATCTGTAAAAAGACATTGAACATTAAAGACTTTTAAAAATCGGCCTTTTGCCCCTATCGGCCACTGATTTTAGGAATCAGCCCTCTTTATTCATATCATCTTAAAGCTCTTAAGATTTTGAAGATTTTTTGTTCAATAACTATTCAGAAATTATTTTTCGTTTTTGAGATACTAGTATTAGCAAAAGAAATATTTAAGGGGCCAACCCTTCAACACCCTAATGGGGACGTTAAGCAAAAAATGTAAGGTTGCATATTGTTCAGAACATTATTTTGAACATCTTTTGTTCAATATTGCTTATCAAAATATTTCTCCCTTTCAAGATATCATCAAAGCATCAAAGATTTAGCATTCTGGCCCCTTATGGCCCCTAATTATGTACCATGCGACATGAAAATCATAATATATAGTTGTAGATGGTTGACATGAACATCTTTGCTTCAGTAATGTATAACAAAATATAAACTGATAAAGAATTATGGATCGAAGACTTTTGGCCCCTCTTGGCCCCTAATTTGAGTGCGTAGCCCCTTTTTCAGGATCTCATCATAAAGATCTTAAGATTTTGAACATTTTTTGTTCAGCAACTGTTTAGAAATTCCTTTTTGTTTTTGAGCTATTAGGAAAAGAAATATTTAGGGGCCAACCCTTCAACTCCCTAATGGGGCTATTTAGCAAAAAATGAAAGGTAGCATATTGTTCAGAACATTATTTTGAACATCTTTTGTTCAATATTGCTTAACAAAATATTTCTCCATTTCGAGATATAAAGCATCTAAGATTTAGGATTCTGGCCCCTTTTGGCCCCTAAATATGTACCATACGACATAACAGTCATAATATTTAGATGTAGATGGTTGACATGAACATCTTTGCTTCAGTAATGTATAACAAAATATTAACTGATAAAGAGTTATCGATTGAAGACTTTTGGCCCCTCTTGGCCCCTTATTTGAGTGCGTAGCCCCTTTTTCAGGATCTCATCTTAAAGTTCTTAAGATTTTGAACATTATGTGTTCAACAACTGTTAAGAAATTCCTTTTCATTTTTGAGCTATTAGCAAAAGAAATATTTAAGGGCCAACCCTTTAACTCCCTAATGGGGCCGTTTAGCAAAACATGAAAGGTAGCATATTGTTCAGAATATTATTTTGAACATATTTTGTTCAATATTGCTTATCAAAATATTTCTCCCTTTGGAGATATAAAGCATCAAAGATTTAGCAGTCTGGCCCCTTGTGGCCCCTAATTATGACCCATACGACATAAAATTTATAATATTTAGATGTAGATGGTTAAGATAAACATTTTTGCTTTAGTAATGTATTACAAAATATTAACTGATAAAGAGTTATCGATTGAAGACTTTTGGCCCCTCTTGGCCCCTAATTTGAGTGCACAGCCCCCTTTTCAGGAACTCATCTTAAAGCTCTTAAGATTTTGAACATTTTGTGTTCAACAACTGTTTAGAAATTCCTTTTCGTTTTTGAGCTATAAGCAAAAGAAATATTTAGGGGCCAACCCTTTAACTCCTTAATGGGGCCGTTTAGCAAAATATGAAAGGTAGGATATTGTTCAGAACATTATTTTAAACATCTTTTGTTCAATATTGCTTATCAAAATATTTCTCCCTTTGGAGATATAAAGCATCAAAGATTTAGCATTCTGGCCCCTTGTGGCCCCTAATTATGAACCATACGACATAAAATTTATCATATTTAGATGTAGATGGTTAAGATGAACATTTTTGCTTTAGTAATGTATTACAAAATATTAACTGATAAAGAGTTATCGATTGAAGACTTTTGGCCCCTCTTGGCCCCTAATTTGAGTGCCCAGCCCCTTTTTCAGGATCTCATCTTAAAGCTCTTAAGATTTTGAACATTTTGTGTTCAACAACTGTTTAGAAATTCCTTTTTGTTTTTGAGCTATAAGCAAAAGAAATATTTAGAGGCCAACCATTCAACTCCTTAATGGGACCGTTTAGCAAAAAATGAAAGATAGCATATTGTTCAGAACATGATTTTGAACATCTTTTGTTCAATATTGCTTATCAAAATATTTCTCCATTTCGAGATATAAAGCATCTAAGATTTAGCATTCTGGCCCCTTGTGGCCCCTAAATATGTACCATACGACATAACAAGCATAATATTTAGATGTAGATGGTTGACATGAACATCTTTGCTTCAGTAATGTATAACAAAATATTAACTGATAAAGAGTTATCGATTGAAGACTTTTGGCCCCTCTTGGTCCCTAATTTGAGTGCTCAGCCCCTTTTTTAGGATCTCATCTTAAAGCTCTTAAGATTTTGAACATTTTGTGTTCAACAACTGTTTAGAAATTCCTTTTTGTTTTTGAGCTATAAGCAAAAGAAATATTTAAGGGCCAACCCTTCAACTCCCTCATGGGGCCGTTTAGCAAAAAATGAAAGGTAGCATATTGTTCAAAACATTATTTCGAACATCTTTTGTTCAATATTGCTTATCAAAATATTTCTCGATTTCGAGATATAAAGCATCTAAGATTTAGCATTCTGGCCCTTTGTGGCCCCTAAATATGTACCATACGACATAACAATCATAATATTTAGATGTAGATGGTTGACATGAACATCTTTGCTTCAGTAATGTATTACAAAATATTAACTGATAAAGAGTTATCGATTGAAGACTTTTGGCCCCTCTTGGCCCCTTATTTGAGTGCCCAGCCCCTTTTTCAGGATCTCATCTTAAAGCTCTTAAGATTTTGAACATTTTGTGTTCAACAACTGTTTAGAAATTCCTTTTTGTTTTTGAGCTATAAGCAAAAGAAATATTTAGGGGCCAACCCTTTAACTCCTTAATGGGGCCGTTTAGCAAAAAATGAAAGGTAGCTTATTGTTCAGAACATTATTTTAAACATCTTTTGTTCAATATTGCTTATCAAAATATTTCTCCATTTCGAGATATAAAGCATCAAAGATTTAGCATTCTGGCCCCTTGTGGCCCCTAATTATGTACCATATGACATAAGAATCATTATATAAAGTTGTAGATGGTTGATATTAACATCTTTGCTTCAGTAATGTATAACAAAATATTGACTTTAAAAGAGTTATTGAATAAAAACTGTTGGCCCCTTTCAGCCCTTAATTTGATGAGTCAGCAAATTTTCTTGATATCATATTAAAGATCTTGATATTTTGCATAAATGTTGTTCAGTATCTTTTAACAAAATATTCATATTTTAAAAGATATGATACAAAATGTCTCAAAAAACCGCTCATAAAACGTGTCCTAAATTTTGACCCCTACCGAGCTTCCATACTAAGCACTTCCGGAAAATATCCTGACCATGTTGCAACGTGGCAACATGTCCTCTATCATCACTAAAAATTTCAGCTTTCTAACTTGAGCCGTTTTTGAGTTCCATCACAGACAAGGAGGTCCTCCAAATTTTGATCAAAGGGCGATAACTCCCGACCGGAAGTGAATTTCCAAAAAATAATTTGCCGGAATTAACTTCAGATGACAACGCATCGACTGTGAAAATTTGAAGCAAATCGAACGAGCCATCTCCGAGAAATCTTCTGCACAAATTTTGTAAGAAGAAAAAAGAATAAAAATAATAAAGGTAAAAAAGAAACCGAAGAATAATAGAAGGGTCTTCCGCTGAAGACGGAAGACCCTAATTAGAAAATATTAGAATATAAATCAGGTTTCCTACATGAGATTTCCTTAAAGACTTATTAATACATATTATTCAAGTACATGCAATACATGTACGTTGGAGTTTCAAGACGCGGAGACCGGTCATTTCGATGAGAACATATACACAACTGTCTCATTACGGGGTAGGTGGTGTCATAAAAGGATTAAATTCGCCTTCAAGGTACCACCTCTGATTTTTTTTAAAAGTCTGTCTTTGCGCTGCTAGTGATTTATATTGTTTAAACAGAATTTAATTTTGTGAAAAGAATTATTTTTAATGCTTATTTTTGACATATGCTTAAATTATTTACCTACAGTATCAATTTGAGTTTAAATAGTAAAAAGAAATTTGTCACTCAGTATTTATCTAAGAAATTAATGTTAATCCTCTACATCAAAGAGCGTCTGACTTGTATGTATGATACAAATTGCGTAAATGTGTTAATTGAAATTTGAGTGAATCCCGTATGTTGTGTGAGAGAGTCAGTTTTTAGATCCGCCGTGGACTATCCCGGACGTGAACATTAGATGTACTGGACATTCCGTCATCAAAAAAATATAGTTTTACTCTGAACTATTCCGAGTTACCAAAACGTTTGTGTGTGTCTGTGTGTGAGCTTTACAACATGTCTTTGTTTTCTGTGACTTAATTTGATTTATTTTTCAAAATACAAACTTTAACTTTTTATTGCTTGACTTTCGTTTAATAAATTTTCATCACAAGTTCACTTGTGTTACTTTAACCAAATATATTCTATTAAAATAATGATTCCATCTTCTTTGTAATCTTTAAATTGCCAGAAATATAGAAATCCAGAAATATCCATAATGAAAATAAAGAATGTTAGAAATGAAATTATTAATTGTCGCAAATGCAATGCAGAATTCCGGAAATCAAATGCAGCAAAAACTGGTACTTCCCCTTACCCAAAGAAACTAATATATGTAGTACATGTACACACTTCGATGCTCGATTGAACACTCTAATCGGCATAACTTTTAGAAATTAAAACGTTTTATATATAGGAAAGTTTAGTGTCGCATATCAATCTTTTTTTCATTTAATTGACGACCTGCGATTAAAAAAATGTCGCATATGATTATTGGTTAACATTATAATTCAACACCAGTCCTGACCTGTAGTACGTGAACAAACTAAACAATTGACATTCATTGTATCATTTGAGGGAAGGGGGTTACGTATCCACCGCGATGAGAGGAAATTTAATAATCTCTTTTAGTCCAATAAACACGAAAGAATGGCCTGGAATATTTGTATGCAACTACATGGCTTTCTCAGAAACAATTTTGCATTTGTTAAAAAATTTCTAATTATTCATTTTTTTCTCTCGTATTCTGAAAGCTCGGAATGTATTTAGTTACAATTATGTACCCGTAAAATCGTGTCATAGTGATATTCTTTTTATTCGAGGAAATAAAAGAAATACATTCGGTACAATACAATTATAAGTTATGTAGCAATTAATGCAAAACTCAAAGTTGCTTCATTTAATTTTCGATTTTCATGAGAATTGGAAACGTCACTTCCACTTACATGTTTATTTGTATTTTCTAATTTAAACAACATCGCAAATTTTTCTGACATAAAGCAATTAGAATAACTTGATATAGGCCCGTATACATGTAACGATTGCAATTACACATGTACTTCAAAGTGGAGGGGGAGACGGGGCCTAAAAAAATCCTCGTACTACATACTCCAATAATAGACCATCCGTACAAATCAAAAACAAGTTGCAGTATTGATATCCCCAATTTTTTAAATAAACTATAATGGACTTCACAAGGGTAGGATTTAACATTAATTTATGTACATGTGCAATTAAAATCACTTTCAAATTTGGCAGACTTATCGATAGGTCATCCTGTGTCACCTTTCAGTGTAATCGATGAACTCGTCCATAGATACCTCAGCAGATGAGAAAAGCGCGCGTAATCGTCAAAGAATAGAATCCGACATTCAACACTTTTAAATCATGTTCAAGAAAACCTTTATATTCGTGTATAGAAATATTCTTACGATTAGCGCAAATGACATATTTTCTTGATTTTAAATCTAGGACTCTAGTAAAAATCAAAGAGCGGTAATGTTGACCTCACGAATGTATACAGGTCAATGCGCGATCGATAAACGGGTTTCATAACCATGCGATAACTGTATACACAAAACACGCAAATTGTACACACAAAACAATCAGGGTCCGAGGAAAATTCCACGATGCATGAATTGAATGACAGTGAATTATCTTAAGTTTAACATTCAATTTAGCTAGGGATATCATTCTTATCCAGTTTATTTCAGTTATACGTGTTATACGCATACGCATACTGTAGAAGCACAAATTTTCGTGGGCATAAAATTTCGTTGTTTTTCATGAAAAATAATTTCGTGTGCATTTAATTGCGTTGTTTTAAAAACTAACCCTATTCAATATATAGTCATATAAAATTTCGTTTGGGATTTAATTTCGTTGAATTTTGTTAACAACGAAATAAACGAAATTTAATCCCCCACGAATATTTGTGCTTTTACAGTATATAGAATTCTTTTCACATGCCGTATAAAATCACTTACCTGTACAAGGACTATAAAGTTTTCTGCTCATCTAATAACACATGATTTCAAAAAAATAACGTTTTCATGAGATCAATAAGATGTTAAAATACCCATTTCATATCGATAATCATATCGAAATATTTACCGATTTTGAGTTATAGAGCAAAAACTTTCAAGCTCCCTCGATCCCTAATTTGAGGGGCCAGCCCCTTTTTAATGATGTCAAATGATAGATCTTAAAATTATGCACATTATTTGTTCATCATGTCTTAACAAAATATTTTTAGTTTAGAAGATAAGAAGCAAAATATGAGTAATTTTTGGTTCTTTTAAGCGTTCTAATTTTTGACCCCTATATAGTGCCATTTTGAATAGAGAAATCGAAAAACAAAAACCGATGTGCACAACTTCAATCCTTCTATTATCTAAAATCAGTAGAATTCCTGCTCCAGCTTTAGCCGTCTCTGAGCCTTTGTCTGGAAACGAAAGCCTATAAATTTTCGTTAAAAGGGAAATAGCTCAAAATCGGAAGTGACTTTTTGAAATTTATGCCAGCATTCTGATAGAGTTAATAAACGTCTATAATCTCTGAAAATTTGAGCGAAATCCGTTTAGAAATGAGCGAGTTACGAGGTCTCAAAGTTGGCGTCTAGGAAAAAAAAAAATAATAGGGAACTAGAACCAAGCCCGTTGCAAAGCAACGAATAGGTCTTCCGTTGGAGCTACGGATAAGAAGACGTAACCTTGAGTCTAGGTCAAAAGCCACATTCTAAAGTTATACAAGTGAAAATTTAAACCTTGTAAGAGAAGCAACTTGCAATGTTTAGCTAGGAAAAAGACTGTAAAGGAATATATGTGACCTTGAACTTTCCAAGTGACCTTGAACTCTCCAAATGACCTTGATCTAAGCAATGACTAAATTTCGTTATAAAAATATTATCCATGTGTTACCGTCTGGAAAATTTCAAACAAATTTCCTTAGATATTCTTTCTGTCCATGCATCCAACCAAAAACATCTTATCCTTGGTGACTTTGAACTTGAGTTAAGGTCACATCCCACCCTGCATTATATCAGCAATGTTTCACTAGTAGAAAAATGGTAGCGAATTTACAGTTTCACTGTCACTAACCTTGACTCGTCCAAATGACTGGATATGTTCAGCCATGTGTTTTTTTTCTGACCATAATCGAGGCAAAACAATTCATTGGGTTCAACACAATGTCGTGACTATATCTCTACTTGTTTGTACTTATAACAAAGGAAGAGAAAACTAGCCATTGCCATCAGACCAAAACTGTAGAAGGAGTAGCGTTTTAAAGGAATTTCACAGAAATTTCTATTTTTAGTAATCATGACAACATCGTTCATCGAAATCAAAAAACGATGCACTTAATTGTGTATCACGGTGCAGTCTACTTGTGTGCTCAGTTACATTGAAATCAAACTAAAACTGTAGGAGGAGTAGCATTTTTAAGGAATTATACAGAAATTTATATTTTTAGTAACCATGGCAACACCGTTCATCGAAATCAAAAACGGATGCATAATATTTTGTATCTTAGTGAAGGCTACTTAAGTGCCAAGTAATATTAAATTCAGACAAAAACTGTTGAAGGAGTAGCATTTTAAAGCATTCTAAAACCGATGAAATATATGATGTATCTTAGAGAAGTGTACTTGTGTGCCAGGTTATATTGAAATCAGACCAAAACGGTAGGAAGAGTAGCATTTTGAAAAAAATGTTTACAGACAGACGGACAGCTAAACAGACGAACGGACGGCGGACACTTTATTATCGCGGACGGCGGATACTTTACTATCGCATAAGCTCTTCCGAGGAAAATATGAGTTAAACACTTATTTAAAAGGAGTGAGGTCAAGGTCAAAAGAAAGTTCAATGTCAAAAGAAAAGTCAAGATAAAAAAGGGCGATATGCAATTAAATAGTTCTCATCAGTATGCATCAACATGTGAAATTTGATATTAAACACCATTTTGAATGGTATGCGCAAGTTTAGAGATTATCTCCCTTGTTGCACTCTAACGTTGAGGAGGGGAGTTTTGTTGCCGCGTAAACAGACAGGTGGGACAGATATTTATATATTGGATGCATTGCATCATCGATATACTGTAGTTTATCGTCACTTCATGATTACCAGGATGCACTCTACAACTCGAGAATAACTAAATTAAATAAAGACATCATTTTAAAAGCATTAAATCGTAGCAAAAAAGAAAATATCAATTGATGTGACACTTCAGACGAGGGAAGAGATATGAACCTCTCATAAATACGGTACACATGTATCAGATCATTGCACGTCGGCAATCTAAAATGACATATATTGATTCTCTTCCTTATTATAACTTTAAAAAAGCCCTACTTTCTTAGAAAATGTTTGTACAATCAAGAAAATCGGTTACTTTTCATAAAAACTACGTTTCTTTCATTTTCAAGTACCGTATAATAGTGAGTGCAGCGAGCTCAATAGAATAACGTGTAAGAAAAGAAGTTCGGAATTGTACACACGTCAAGCAAATTTTGTTGTGCAACATTCCCAGAACTCCTTTACTACCCAATGTCCTTTGCGCGAATAAATAAATAAATAATAACACAAGTAACAGCTTTTTAAAAAGCTTGCCTGACTAATGTCATCAATATCTATAGAATCTATATGCATGATAAGCTATAAACGTTTACATTTGGGGAGGTGGGAGGGAAATTATTTCAC